CGTATGATCAGTTGTACATTAGAAGTTTAGCACAGGACATTGTACAATCTTATGACAGGACACTTTCCTGCCCACACTGCTTGCCTAACCCTGCCTGCATGTAACGTGTCCAGAAGGGCATGAAGCTCCCAGCTTATACCTGCAAAGCTCCGTGCTGGTTCATTACTACAAGTCCCAGTGGTATGACGACCATTGAACATGGTGTTTGTCAGCCTGCGTGCCCAAATTAAGAAATATCTCTGATAAATGGCACTGAGATGATCCTCCATGCAAAGTATCAGTGCTTAGCAGCTGATAAAACATCCTGTTGTGGTGAAGGGGAACAAGACAGCAGAGGTGCTTGCTGGTTCCCCCTGAGACTTCTTGCTTCTGCCAGGAAAAGCACAATACCACCTGAGCTCAGCCTTAAAAGACACTGCTACAGGAATGCTAAACAAATCTTTTATACCTTGGTATTTCCCTATTAGAGTTTTATGTGAGTCTGTTGGGAGCAAGTGAGATTGCATTCAAATTTCATTGGCACTCCTTACTGATTTCTGCCCTAAAGGGATTCATAGCACAGGGATTAAGGACTTCCTAAATCACCTAATCCAAGCAGTTGGTATGATAGAAATGCACTCATAAACCTCAAAGTATTAACTATAAAGCTTGTGGATTTCTGTTTGGTATTGTACCTGACATGTTCCTAGTGTTCAATCAGGGATCGTTCTCCTGATAGTGTTGAAGGTTCCTAACTGCCCTCTGAAATTTATTCCTAGCCAATGTCTATGCTTTCAGCTTTTATTCTATTTGTTGGATGAAGTCTCATTTTCCTCTGGCTTAAAAGCACTTCTCCCTCCCTTATGTTTACTCCATGAAAAAATCTCAGAGAGTGTTTTCGTACCCTCACAACCTGCTTGTAGCTTGGCTGAACTTTCCAAGGTCTTCCTCCTGTGAGACACTCTTCATCCTCTGTCACAGCCCAGGTCCGCATCTACCCTCATCTGAAGTCACCTTTCCAGGGACCAGCCCATTACCTGTCCAGACGAGGTTTCATCAGTGCTTGCTACCAGACTTGCTGCTTCCTGTATTGCTTCCTGCAGATGCCTGGGCTGGAGATTAATGGGATTTCTCACCTGGAGTGCAAGAAATACTTAGGATTTTGTTGCCACCTCAAATGTGGTAATGAATTGCAATACATTCATACCCATCTTCCATTCTGCTGTTGTTCCTACGCTGAAATGTGTCAGCACTATTTTGGGGGCAATACCTAGATTACCTTTGCTCTTGACCCCATCCTTCCTGCATAGCAGGCCATTTTTATTCTTGTTCTCCTTTTATTTATATTGTTAAAAAAAGTCTTTTACCCCTTAATATCCTTTGGCAAATTCTAACTCAGCTTGACTTTTGAGCAGTTTTTCACGTACTTGCAGTATGCTTTTTTCAACCCGTTAGATTGCAATTCTTCCTTTCGTTTCCCCGCTGGTTCGGTTACAGATTCCAGGCTGATTTTGCACCTTTGAATTAAAGCAGTTAGCCCTGTATTGCATTTACATTCCTGAGTTTGTCACTTTAATTTGATCATATTAACTGGTTTCCTCCATTCTCAGATTGAGTTTGCCTTTGATTTTGATCTGTTCTTCTCTTCCCATTTAATTGACACTGGTGTTTTGACTGGTCTGATTTTCTACTACCATCTTTTTAATAGCAATCAAAAGCCGCTGCAAAGTATTATTGTCTTCCATTATTACATATGACACTTGCTGAAGATTTTCTCTAAACATCCATGCAATTTCTGACCATGCTTTTTTTTTTCTCTCAAAATAATTAGTTTTAATATATATAATATATACATGTAAAATAAATAATAAACAATGATGATTTTACATCATTACAGCATTACATATTACAGCATATACAACTTTAACCTAGAAGACCCTCCAGGATCTCTGATCATGTTAAAGTAGGATTTTCACTACCACCTTCCCCCTGATTTTGTGCTGTGGTTTCCCCAGCCTACTTAAAATTATATTTTTGTGATACTTCTCTCATGAAAAGAGTGAACCTGGGGAATCTTACTGGATTCTGGAGAAGTGGAAGAGATCCAGGAGGGGAGACAGAAGTTTTATTACCTATTCCACAACTTTCTACATTCAGATCTACTAGAAATGCAATGGATGGCAAGTTATACCATCTAAATCTACTAGTTTGTCCTTCCATCAGAGCAACATGTGGTAAACAAGTGGCTCTAATATTCTGTGGTCATTTTTCATTTGGGAAAGTAGAAGGTCACTTCTTCTTTTGAGGCAAAAGAATAAAAATAAAATGTTCCTGAATTCACAGTTCCACTTAAGGGAACCAACTCACACCAGGTCTTTTCACACTTACCATAATTCTGATTTTATCAGATGTGCATTTAATTTCTTTAAGTAAATATCCAAAGGTCACAAAGCATTCTGGCTGGTGCTTATACATGTTTTTAGAGATGTTTTCTTTTCAAATTAAGCTGACATCTTGATGGGTACCAGATGTCTGATATCATAATGGTGCATATGGGATCATTCATGTGCCAGACCAAATCATCAGATGTTCTAGGGGATATAGGGAAGAGACAAGGGAAATGAAATATTCAGTAATATCCTACCTTTCTTAATGCGCTAAAGTATATTATTTCAACCAGAGATTCAGCCAGACTGGCATTTTAAGAGAAAGATCAGTTGTTCAAGATCACTAATTTCAGTTAGTGCTTTATTCTGCTTTTTTTTTTTTTTGCTTTTTTTTTTTTTTTTGTGCAGGCAGTTGCAATGACTAAAATGCCTAGAAAGATTTATAAATGTAAAACACAATAAGAGGTAAACTCTAAGCCATGCTACACAGGCAGCGAAATACATGACCCTTAAATCTGTCATTCATGTAGGATGGCAGGATATTTTCTTGAAAATCCTGTCACACAGAAGTCCTGCCTTGTGCTAGGCACTTTAAAATCTGGGCTGACTTAAGGGATCCAGAAGGGGCTTATGAAAAGATAACAATGGGCCCCAAAGCTCTGCTGAAACAGGAAATGAAAGTGAATTCTTTACCATCAAATGAATTACAATCTGCCTGGAAATCTGGCATTTTGTTTATAATCATCTACCTGTCCTGGTTCAGAGAGAAATGCCGCAGAGCAGATGAGCAAAAAAATGAATGGGCCAGTATGTGTGAAGGTTAGGCTCAACTGCCCCCACAGGGTCCAGCCATCACTCATGCTACATCATATGTACCTTACCTCTAGTTACTGTTAGCATGAGAAGAAAATCACTCACTGAAACAGACAGATAATGAAATGGTCTTTAGAAAGGGCTGGAGGGAATTCCTTGAAGGAGTTCTGTGGCTGATAAGGATATTTTTATTGGTAGTATGATTGAAGGTCCTAACACTATTGAAACCTTAGTTTATATTGCGAGCAGATAAGTAATTTGTTTGCCTATCATAATCAGAAACTGGCTGCATGTGCACTGAAAAAAAAAAATGCTCAGATTTACTTGAGTGTATAGTATAAATTGATATCTATGCCTTACTTTACATTTTATACCCATCAGTTCGGTTTTACTGCAGTATTGTAGACATTGTGAAAACATAACCAAGCACAAAAAGACACTGATCAGAAGGAAATGTCTTCCTCACAATCTTTTATATTTTTTTATGCATGCAGGAAAACAAGATCCATGCTTCACAAAGTTCTGTAGGTTATTACCATGTGTTAAATTGTGATCTGCAAACACAAGCTGTTCTTAAACAAGAACAAAAAAGAAAAAACAGATGGTTTCTTTTAACGTCATGTGAAACTTTTCTTGAACACAAGCGTATGTTTTCTCCTCTCCAGCTGGCAATTCCCACATGTAAATGATCAGATTTTACCATTTCAGGAGACTCATAAGACCCCCTCTGTTATAAAAAGACACATTATCCTAAAAGACTGAGGAACAAAGAATGCCAAGTGCTTCACAATAAAGCTACAGAAAATATTTTTTCCTCGATTGTCTATTTGAAAATGTGTCTGTGCTAATTAAAAAAAAAAAAAAAAAAGTGAGAGAGAATGTGAGAAAATAAAAAACAGTGACTTCAGCATCACCATTGACAGAACTTTTGTGGCTGTGACAATTTTAAATGTCTGTCTGTCTGTCTCCCTGCCACAGACAGAGTGACCACTGCCTGCCTGTATGCACTGGGGCTGCCCAAGGGAGGGTGACTGCAGGTGTAGAGCAGTGATGTGCTGCTTTAGCACAACAGAGCATTGCTTTCCTGCACTTTCCCCCACCTCACGCCTCATTCTATGAGGCATTGAGCCAGCAGAAATGTTTGGTTTCTCCTGGAAAATATGTGTGCCTGTACTGGAAGGATTCTCATTTGAACCCAGGCTGGGGAAATAATCGTTCCTGATGGATCTCCAGAGAATAGAGATGCTTTTTATTTTTATTTTATTTTACTTTATTTTACTTGTTCTAGTGTTCTTTAGGTCTGAACATTAGGTCTGAACATTATGTATAATGTTTTTCTGGATGGAAATAATGTTTATTTCTGAGGAAAAAGAGAAATCCGTAATCATCAGTGCAATGGGTTTGAGTGTTTAGTGCTAGAGAGTGATATTTGCCAGTGCATTATTGAGAACAGATATAGTTGTCATTTTGCATTCTCTATGTTACCTCTTAGTTGGACTACAGGTGTAAAACTAAATAAATGTTCAATCTGTTTAATAGAAAAACTCTTCACTACTTGTATTGTGTCTGTGCTCACTCAAAACAGATGCACTTTCATAGCTTGAATGAAAGACTGAATTACCAAAAAACAAGCTTAGTAGTAAAAAAGAAAGAACTGCAAGACATAAAAATCAAAGGATAATTGTTGCACAAATACAGTGCTAACACAACACCCACACAAGGACTATCAATTCTACCACACTGCAATTGCCGGCATGCTCATGTTTAATCCTCGTCTTGTTCATTTGTTTATTCCTTTTTTTTTTTTTTTTTTCCCCTCAGTTTGATGTCCTTGGCTCAAATGGAACTTTTCCTGATGTTTCTAAGTGAGTAGAGAGTAGACATGATATTGGCTGTGCAGCATAACATACTTAAAAACGTAATCTAAATAAATAAATAAATAAGGTGTCTCTGTATCCCAAATGCCAGTTCCTCACCCTCTTTTTCCCTGCAGCATTTCATTGAATCACGATGAACACGGAAAAAAGTTCTAAATGACCACTTCAGTACAGAAACAAGACATACAGAAGAGCAGCAAGGTGACCACAGATGTCTGAGAGCAATGGAAATGCTGTGCTGTGATGGGAGTCTTTGATGACTGCCTCCGGGGCAGGACCGTAACTGAGCAGCACCATCTATTGCATTTGAGTGAGACTGTCCATCATGTTTCCCTACAGGACTTCATATAAAATAATGTTTGGCACATAAAACGGCTTTGGAGGACGGCATGGTGGGAAGTGAGTTTTTCTGGACCAAAACTTTTGGAGAATTATGTGTTTCTTTCACTTAATTCTATTAAATTTTCTTTGTTAATGGATTTCTCTGAGGAAAATGAACAGCAGAAAAAGACATTTAAATATTAGTGTTTCTACTCAAAACATGAGAGTAAGAATATTCCAGAATTGCTATCAGTCCTGTGGTTGAAATTCAGGCTCTGATGTTTGGTTCTCTATTCTGCCTTTCCTTATATCAAAAAAGAAAAAGAAAGTTCTGCCTGGCAGTTCATTGCTTTTCCCTGCACACACCCTCTCTGCATTTTTTTCTGGAGCTGTCCCACTTTGTGTTTTTAATTCGCTGTTCTGTTTTGTTTCTTCACATCCTAATCATTCCTTTTTATGTACCAAAACTGAACTACTAACAAGAAACCCTCTGATTAATTTTAAAGCTTTCTCTGTGAGCTGTTAAAATCCAGGATACGGCCTAATTTAAGGGCCAATAAGCAATCCCTCTCTGCAAGCTATTCAAGAGAGTTTCAACTAGTGCTTACACTTTATCCTCTAGATGTTTAATCTATACAATTTTAGAGCCAATATTTTTAAGAAAGAAGTGGCACTAGTATAATAACACCACTTAGTAATCAAATATTAATGGTTTTCTAAATGTTTATTATGCTGTTGAATTAAAATATTTCCATGCATAGGCAGAACAGATGACTTCTGTTCTGCAAGGGAAATGGCATTTGGCCATTTAAAAACAGTTTCATTGTCCTCTCTTCCCTCTTAATTTCCTAAACTGAAAAGGAAACCACAGAAAAATAAGAGAATCAGAGAAAATGGGAAAAAATGGAGAATGGTGACAAGGAGTGTTATATGATCCAATTATGCAACTATCGGAGTTCAGAAGGCACAAATTGCATCTTTTCATGGTGTTCAACTTGCTTTACTAACCCTTTGTTCAAAAGTTTCTTATCTTCATGAGTGACAGTTTCCGTTTTGGAAGACCATGCTTTAGAATGTGTTAAAAATCCAAAATCTCTCTTCTTACAGACACGGAGCTCAATTAAGTCAACTAAATTAAAGCACCTGCTATCAAAAGCCTGACAAATTCCTCCTAAGAAGGTATGGCAACTCACTGTAGTGCTTTATTTCCTTTTGTTTGCTGATTATACCCTTCTTATGCTTTGCAAATCTTCAGCTGTTGAATGCTAATGTCATGATTTCACATGAACGGATTTTTTTCACAGTATTTCTGATAGTCTTGTGTGTTTTTTTTCTCCTTTTTTAAAATTTTTTTTTTTAAGAGTTATTAATTTCCACTTGGTTGTTAAACAGTTTAGGCTGCGCCATACAGCAGCCGGAGGGAAGATGACAGAATTCTTCTCTACTGCCCTGTTAATATGTACTAAATTAACTTTAGAGAAATGACATAAAAGGTTGGGATAAGGGGGGTACAATTCAATGGTCTTTAAATATTAGTCTTTCTGGGGAGCTAGCCTAAGTTTCATGGTCTTTTCTTAAGAAAATATTTAAAAGTCTTTTTCTAAAATCACATTCATAGGCAGCTCTGCTAAGGAAAGAAGGTCTTCAGTGCCCAGTTAATGGAAATTAATGAATTGATCCCAGCTGTAGGATCAGTTAATACCTTTTTAGACATCAGAGAAAGCTGAGAGAAATTCCTTTTAAATACTCAATCAGTTAGGAATCTTCAGTCAAAGCTTGAATCTGTATAGATGTTAATGCTAACTAATACAAGGTATAAATTCAAAGACAATCCCTATGTTTGAACAACTTTCTTAGTTCTTTGGATGTTATTACTATTTTACAAAACTTTTGGGGTATGAATTTAAGCAGTAGTTCTAGTTGGATGGGCTTTATTGTGTTGACCGTGTTATTTCTCAGGAACCAAAGAAAAGCAACGTGGTCATCTGGAGGTAGTGATCCACAGGTGTCCTCAGCCTGGCAGGACCTGGTTTCTGGTAGGTGGCTTGTCTTTCTTGTTCACAGAGATGTTCAAATGGATTTTGTATTTTGAGAAAGAAATGAAAGCTCTGCATTTCTTAAGAAAGAAGCTTCATTTTCTTGCCCTTTTAGGACCAGTCTGAGGGGAACTGCTGTGGTATCCTAATTTATTTGTAGTGCTGTTAGTGCTTTTTTATTTATTTTATTTTTTTTTTTTTAAATGGAAATCTCCTGTTTGTTTTGAATCTAGCTTACTGTCCAATAACTTTTTCCCTCAATATCATAAGGGTAGCTGCACTCTGTGATTTGCCTTGCACCCACTAGCTATGTGGGTAATGCCTGAGCACATGCTATTTCCTTGTATTTCGGGCTTTGCACTGGCAGAAAGTCTGGGTGGGAAGAAGAAGAAGGTGAAAATTTCTGTGTACTTCCTCCTGTAGCACAGGTACAGCTAGTGTGGAGCTCAGGAGCTCTCTATACTGAGCAGAATAGAAGGAAAGTTCTGCAAAATATAAATGTTTCATGATAATGTGGATCACCTGTGCTCTTGTTGGGACAGTTCTCTTGGAAAGAGAGATAAAACACGGGTTTCATTAAATTCAAGAAATGAATTGTGTGTGTGTCCCCATGCAAGCCTTCATCTGTGAAACAAGCAGTTAGAAACAGCATAAAAGGAGGATGATCTTACCCAGGGGGAGCAGTGCTTTTTGGAGTCTAGTATATGATAGTATTGGATGATGAGCTCTTCAGTTTCAGAAAGTAGGAAATTCATTATATTTCATAAATTACGTTTTTGTTAAGTTATCAGTTAAAATGTGTTGAGCTAATATGTTTTTATCTCTAGTCTTCAGAGACGATAAAATCCTTTAGGTATGAGCATCAGGAAGTAAAAATGTGTTGTATTCAAGCTTGAAAGATACTGTTTTCTAAGTATTTGCAGTTGCTTCCGCAGCTGTATGTTTTAATTGCTTTCCCCAAGTTATTATGAAACTAAGTATAGTGCTTGTATATTTGAGATACTTAGCAAAAAGTTGTGTGGCAATGAAAGTTGGTTAAATTGTCTTGATTATTCTGGGGGAGAAGGGGTGAAGTGGTTTGCCTTTTAGAGAACAAATTTTACCTTCTTCAAATACAAGCTGAGTTTGTCTTGCTTGCTTCTACATAAGAGTTAAAGCTTGATGAGGGGGCTTTGCATCATGAGGCTACCACCCTGATCCAGCCCAGCAAGAAGAAGGGAGGTAATAGGCACAGCACACACTCTGACCCTACCCATCCCACTCCCCTTCTAGCTGCTGAGACAGCTATTTGTGAGAGCATGGGACACTACCACTTCCAAAACTCCTTAAAATTTACTCATATCTCTCTGTAGCCCTGTGGCCTGCAACAGACTATTCCCCTCCAGTAATGCATCCAGGCCTGGACTCCGTGTCCACCTGCCAAGGAGTAGTTTTCTTGTTTGTTCAGCATTACAGACTTCCAGGCTTCCATCATACTTTCAGAAGTCTGAAAAAAGTCTGTGGTCCTTTTCTGTCATGCTCTTTTGCTGGTCAAATATGTATCCTGGGTTAAATCACCTCATGCTTCAGGTTATTTTCTGTAATTTTTTTTTAGAATATATTTGAAAATAAAAGGCTGGGAAGGGGGAATTATAGTATCCAAAATCATGTATTGTGGGAGGGAGAGGATCAAATGTTGATTACATTATGATTTAAGAGCCTTAAGATATCACTACCTGCTTTGTCAAGGCCTAGTGGTGTTAGAAAGAACCTTCCTTAAAAAAGGTGGAAAGGGGAAAAAAAAATGTTTCAAATTCATATTTCTATACATCATCCACCCTTCATTTTTCTATCAAAATTGGGAGGAGAGGGCAAGAAAGCCCTATAAAATACTAATATATTGTAAAACATTGAGGTCCCACAGATTAGATGCATTAAAAAATCCTGTATTACAGACAAGCAATGCTATCATTTCATAGGCATCACGGTTGCAGTGCTAATAAAAAAGAGTAGATGCTACTGATTAGAAAATCCTCTCTGGTTGGTTATTTCACATGAGCGCTTCTACAGCTGTAATGTGGTAGTTGTCACAGTACATCTCAATAAATCGCTTCACTGTTTAAGGGTAAAGCCATCATTGCTGAATAATCCCCTCCTTTAGGCATAAAGCTTTGTCACAAATTCAGCTTCTCAGTGTTGCTTCTTAAAATGTGTAATTAAAATGATGATCTCTCAGTGGCTAGTTTGCCAGGTGACATTGATTTTAGTTCTTAAGCTGCTTTATGACTCTGCCACAAGTCGTTTAGAACAGGCCTCTATTAAGAGAACCTCAGGAAAGTTTTAGTACTGACTATGATGCAGAATTAGCAGCAGTCCTTTCAGAAAGTGTTGAGAGCCTGGTACTGAGGGCACATTTCTGGAAGTCCTCTCTTCATATAAAATAACTCTGACAATAATAAAGGGGAAAGACAAGGGAGAGAGAAGAACAGAAGCCAGGAGATGAGTAAGACAGCATTGGGAAAACAGCTTAGGTATACTTCGATCTCTTGTTATTCATATTTTCTTTCATTTGGGAGACTGATTGCTCTGAATTCAATCCTGTTACCAGCTTCTTTGTCAAAATTGTTTTCAGAACTACAGGCCACTGGAAGAGCCATTAAAATAAAGTTGTTATTTTCCTTGCCTTCCAGCACAAAGCGTAGCCCGTAGCAATGACAATAATCCAGAGGAATTGTATTTTTAAATGGAAAACAGTAAACTGCCAGCATAAAATTTAAGTCCTGTTGCATGGGCCCTGTAGGCTTTGCACCGCTGTGTGTGACCACTGGTAAGTGGCACTGGGAACTGGCGAAATTCTGCTGTGGCAAACAGTGACGTTATATGTGGAGCTCAGGTAGAAAACCTTCTTTGGAAAGTTTATTGAAAAGGTGGCTTCTTTTTTGAGGCAATGCAGGCCCTGTTGTGGTGGAGAAAGCCTCCAGACAAATCCTGTTGCACCCAGTTCATCTGTGTGTGCTTGCTCTTGAGACAGGAGGGATGTCCTTTCCTGGGTTGCTGGACACTCGCAGCTTGTAAGTAGTGCAGAACACTCTTGTGCAGAGCAATACCTATGAAAATCAATGAAACGAGAAGGTGTTTTGTTTTATCTTTCCTAAGCACTGTTTGTTTAAAGAAGGCCTGGTCGCAGGACTTCTGGTTTGAACATGAAAGCTTTGGCCATCCAGATCAGTTAGATGGGATCTATGGATGCTCATTTACTGTCCATTTCAGACTTTTGAATGAACATGGGATGAAGTGAACTCCTGCCTTTTGGTTCACCATAACCAATGTAGGGATGTTTGCACCTTAGGGAGACTTTCCTACTTTCTTCAGTGTAGGATCCATGTAAGGGCCTTCTTTTTGAACATATTTTTGCAGTGAAATTGTTTCTATCCCTTTCCATGCACATACTCAGAGAGAAAAGGAAGCATAACTGATGATATTGCTTGAGGAGTTGGAATCCTGTAAGTAGAGAGCAAGGATCAATGTGTTCTGTATTGAACTTGGATTCTGCAGTGGACACATACACAGCCTGAGAACATGCACTCAAAGAGAGAGTAAGGTCGCTTCTTCAAATAGATCTGTGCTTCTATCCGAATTATACACTGTCTGTCTTTCCCTGTCCCAAGATTAACACACGTCAAGTTCTGACAGCCCTTGTGCTGCACCATCCTGGGTCTATGCTGTGACTCATCGCTCAATGGAAGAGCAAAGCCTTGGGGGGGGGGGAGGAGGGGGGAGTGTACAATCCAATTTCTGCACTTCCAAATAGCAAGCAAATGTTTGAATTATGGATCACAATTAACTACTAATTGGCCATAATGTAAGCCCCTTCTGAATGGACATGGTAAATATTGAAACAAATGGGTTGTTATTTTTCAGACCTGAATGCTAGTCATTTAAAATGAAAAGCTAATTTCAGCCTGGGAGGCAAGCTCTATATTTTAATCAAGTGTGACAGATCGAGAACAATAAATGAGCACTTAAGGTGAGGGGATGTTTATTTCCCTGCTGCAAGTTTATTTGTGGTAAGTTATACAGCCCAATGCAAAATAAAATTAAACTGTAGCTTTGATCCAGATCTCTGAGAAGTCCCAGCAGAAAGCCTGAATAAAGAATGCAAAGCAAAAGAGACTATTCTTAAAATAGAACAAACCTAACAGTTAGGAAAGCTTTTGTAGATTTATATATCTATTATGCAGTTTTGCTGCTAAATCAGTGCTGTAACGTAATTAAGAAAGAAGCTTTGCTAAGAGCCATAAAGAGCTGGGACTTTGCTGGGGTGTCAACCTAATCTGCAGCTGTCCTGCAGAGTATGCTCAAAACTCATGAAGATCTTTATTACTACAGTAAAATTCCTGGTGTTCCCTTTCACTCAAGGTACATCTTCCTCTTCAGTAAATGTAATTGTTTTTGTTATAGGGAGGCAGAGATAATGTTTATAGTTGATGGGCCTTTTTTAACCTACTTTCAAAGTGTTGAGCTAAAATTCTAATATTGTTCTTTTAAGCATGAGTCTAGTATTGATTTTAGGAAGGGAAAAGAAAAAAAATTAAGTTCAGGTGGATGTTTTCTATCAGATTAAATTTCTACTTAAATTGAGGATTGTATATAATCTATGTAATGTTCTGAATAACTCATATCTCTTCTGTGTCTGTATATAAATATTTTATACTTTTTAATATTTCAGTACAACCAGTAGATCTGATGTTGCTCTAAACCATTTTTTTTCCATATCCAAGCAACAAAATCAGCCTCAATTCAACACTTGGAAAAGGTTTTAATAATTGTATATAATATGGGTTTATGCTAAAAACAAATTAAAAATATATTTCTATGTAGTACTGTCCTCAGATGAGATCTCTTGTAAGCTATATACAGAAGTATTTTTTACCTAGTCAGAGAATAACTAAAACAAACTAGTATGGCAAAAGTTAGTGATAAATTGGGAAACAAGTTAGCTAAAACAACTAACTCCCCAG